AGTTTACTCTGGGTCAAAAGATGGGGGCATATGTACCACACATGGTAATTACTGTCCTGGAACAAAAGGGGGGTCATGGGCTGTCCCCCAGCAGAATGTTGAAATATCAGGTTGTTTTATTAGAACAAGATGATGTGGAATTAAAAACCACAGCAATTGTCAATCCAGCGATGTTCCTGTCAGCAGAAAACCCAATGGGAAACTTAGAACATGACTGCCTGTTAACTATTGAACAAGTTTGTTCTAGCAGATCAGACCTGAAAGATGAACCCCTGGAAAATCCCAATCTGGAATTGTTTACAGTTGGAAGCAGCTTTGTGCAAAATGGAAAGCGAATGGCTGGATACGCTGTCATCACCACCACCAAGGTATTGGAGTCAGGGACCCCACCTGCAAATACCTCAGCACAGAAAGCAGAGTTGGTGGCTTTAAAGCAAGCTCTACGAATGGCAGAAGGACAAAGGGTAAATATCTGGACCGATTCTAAATATGTCTTTGGTGTAATCCATGCTCATGGAGCTATTTGGAAGGAGAGAGGATTGCTATCGGCCCAAGGATCCCCAATAAAGTATAAAGAAGAAATTCTCCAACTTCTGGAAGATGTGCAGAAACCAAAGGAAGTGGCGGTAATGCATTGCAAGGCTCATCAACTCGGGCAAACAGCTGTGAACATAGGTAATCGATTGGCAGATAGATAAAGCTGCAAAGGAGGCTGCATCACAAGGTATCCTTATATCAGTACCAGTAAAACAGATAAAAATTCCAAATTCAAAACCAAAATATAATAGATTGGATGATCAATTAGCAGAACAATTGAAAGCATCACAAAATACGGAAGGATGGTGGGTAACGCCAGAAAAACAGGTAATAGTAACCCCGCAAGTTATGATAGAACTTGCAAAAGAAAAACATGAGCAAACACACCGGGGTGTAGATGCTATGGTTTCAAGTTTGAAAGCATCTGTAGTGTGTGTAGGGATGACAGGAGGGAACGGTAGTTTCAGAGAAAGAAGCGAGTGAGCAAGGGAGTCTCCTGGGATTTGGGTGTTACTGGGAGGCCTGTCACCAGGAAGCCAATATGAGGGCTTACGGGAAGGCACACATGAGAGGTGTTAGTTCACACATGTTACTTAATGTCTTTAACCACCAACTTTTAGCCTGTCTGGCCAGATTATTCCACTGGATTGTGAAAATCAGCCTCTGTTTACTTTGCTTTTGAATTAAAGTATTCAATTACAACTATACAGATCAGTTGACAATGCACAGGAGGTTGTAGGATGTCAGAGCGTAGACGGCAAAAAGGTTAATACACTAATATCCATACCATCACTGCTCTTGAAAGCAAGCCCTTACAAAACAAAAAACAAACCCTGTGCTACAGCACTTGGAACAAGATACACGCCCAGAAAGGAGACTAAGGAGCCAAAACAGAAAACCTCGCTAAGACAGATTTTGGCTAATGAAAGAACTAGAATTCTTATGAACTAAAATTATGATAATTGTTAGATTAAGTTTCTGCATGACCTTTCATCTTTTCTTTTGTCCTAGCTTACTATAATAAAACTGTCAAGTCCTTTGTTAATAGCTTGTTATAGATGACTACAAAAAGGTATTAGGTATAATTGCAGAATTTATCACAGATTGGAAAAAATATTGATGCAGGAGAAGTGCCTTACACTATCACTGTTTTCTCCATTATTGCTAGGAAGGTGGCATTATTAGAAAGCTAATATTTGATCAGTAATAATTAAGTTTTATAGAAAACTTTTATTGCTTTTGTCTCTTAGCAATGTGTATCTCCTTTTCTGGTCGGTACCATGTACTGAAAAGAAACTTGAAAAATCAATGTAATGAAAAACATTCAGACTGCAACCCTCATTTGGTTACACATCCGGTACTTTACAATTAAACAACATGGTATGCTTTCAGTATATTACTTACTGGAGGACCCTTACGTCCTGGTCTCCCTTTCTGTCCTTTTTGACCATTAATGCCTTTTTGTCCCTAAAAAACCAAAGTGTACAAAAGAGTTCAGTTAACACACACAAATGATTAGTGTTGGGATTTTTTGCTTTTGTGAATAATACTAATGTTTACCTGAGGTCCTCTGTATCCTTGTTTTCCTTGCAAGCCATACTGACCAGGCTGTCCACGATTGCCCTGTTATTAAATGACAACAAATCTTTGTCATGTTAAGGTCTTCTCATGTGATCTAACAGACAGTAACATGTTGGGATTTATTGTATTAAAAAGCTGTGGTTTTTTTCTTTATGTCTTCCTGCTATGGATAACATATTTTCTTGCATTTACAGATGTCAAGAAAAATTCCAGAGGATCTATCTAACCAGCCTGATTTCAACAGATTGAACACTGCAGACCCAGAATGAACTAGTAATCAACACAGCAAAACCAATCCAAAGACAGTACTCCTGAAACCACACAGTGATAACTTTCCTGAAGTAAAATCTTGCATGTGGACAATATTCGAGGCACTAAAAATCATTTAATACAGTTGTCACTGGGAAAGTCTTGCTGAGGACTAAAAGCAGCACCTTCTGCTTTTGAAGGCCCAGTGCTGGAAATTGATACAAACAAATGAGAAAAGACATTTTTTGTATCTAACAATACTTACATGCAAGCTATAAATACCTAAAATTTGCCGTTTTATCTGTGCAATATTTGGAACATACTCCTGCAGGTCGTTTAGTGTAATAGCATGAAGCATACACATAAAAGTCCACATGATGCTCCTGATCAGTTAATGTTTCTCAAACATATCTACTGCAACTATTTTGAATTATCTTTTTCAAAATTCTTGATTAAGATCCTATGTGGAAAAGGGCAGATGATATAAAAAACGAATAGTTCTTACATCTGGTCCCCGTTGTCCCCTTTGTCCTGGTATTCCCTAAGACAAGGTAAAAAAAAATAATGGCTGTGAGGCCAAGTTAGGTATCACCTGAATGCTTTTAAAAGTGGATAACTTGTCCTGATTACTTCATTAAAACTTTTCAGCTAAACAGATAGACAAATGCAAAATTTATGCTTTTTAAAAAACAATATAGTTTCAAAACCAATAGTCCAGTTTTGGCCTCCAGTGCCATTCTGAATGTTGCTTAGGAAAAAAGTATTTTTATTTAACAATAAGAGTATTGCTACTCACAAAATTAAATATTGCTATCAAAAGTGCATGCAAGGCAGAGGCTAGAAAGCATTCTCCCACTAAATCAAGCCCAAGCAAGTTAAGAACTGTTTTTCATTTTCACTGTGTACAAGCTTCCTCTATTAAAGGAACTTACCGGGTTGCCTACGCCTCCTGATGGCCCACGTGAGCCTTTTTGTCCTCTCTCACCCTGTACATGGAAAATTTAATTTAATTTAATTTAATCACTGCAATTTCTCATTTCTTCTTTTGTCCATTTTTGCAAGCCAAATTTTTAAGACTGTCAAAAACTGTCTTGTAGGACTTCCTCACAACAACATTCTCTGTCAAAGACTTTCAGTAAATAGCACTGACCACCAAAAGCAACCGCATCTCTGAATGGGCCTGGCTCATAGCAGGAAGAGCTGGCAAATACCATTACAACTTTTCTCCGAAAGATTCCTGCAGGCCCTTGTTAAGAGCACAGGGCTGGGGGCTAAAGAGTCAGCAGATTCCCGGCTCTGCTTCTAGCCAGCTCTTTGATATTGGGCAAGTTACTTCCTTGCTCGGTGCCTCACTTTATTCCTTTGCTGCACTGAGGATAATGACACAGACTGCTTGTGAGGGCACGCTCTTGCTGAAAAGTATCACACAAGAGGCAAGCATTGGTACTGTTGTCTCATAGGAAAAAAAGCTCACCCAGTCTTTTAACTCTCCCCAAAAGCAGTGTGGGACTTAACACCAGACCATTTTCTCAGGTCTCTCATCTGGATGACAAAATCTGTTTTCAGTTCACTCTAAGTGCGAGTGGGGCTGTTGCTTTTCCCTGGAGGTAGCTGAGCTTCCCCCCAGCTGGTTTCCAGAGAAAAGGAGAGTATTCAGTTCCCTTGCCAATGGTCCAGGCATGGATCTTGGATGGATTTAGAAGCTATGCTGATATCCAAGGGATCTGTGAACATGGCTGTGCTTGTGAATCTAAACAGAGATATATTTAAAATAGTGCAGATAGGAGGAGAAAACTGTATAACTGACAAGCAGGTATCTTACAGAAATTCCACATATTTCTAAATATTACCTCTTGCCCCTCTTCTCCTGCAAAGCCTCTTGTTCCTGGTATTGCACTGTTCAGTCCAGGGTTACCCTGAAAAAATGAAACACCTCCCAGTAAGAATGCTTATTCTTACAAAATCTGAGATGTTAAATAAACAAGTCAGTCCTTAGTCAATGCATATGATTACTGTCAACATTAGGAGTGCTGTTTAGAGAGATCAGATCAAGGGTTTGGTAGTACTAACTACTTAAAAACTGTAAACATTCTTCTTTAGCAAAACAATAGAGATCTTTACCTATATAAAGGGTTAGTAAAAAGCCTATGTATTAGAGTTGCTACAGTCATTGCAACATCATGTGAACACACTGGAAGAATCTGTCATTTTTGCCCCAGTGCACAGGAGACTACTCATGAATATACACACAGACAATCTGAATCTAGAAAATAATAATGCACTTGAAAAACATACAGGATATCCGCGAAGGCCCTTCTGGCCACGATCACCAGGGGGTCCTCTTGGCCCTGGACTTCCCTGAAATCAGAACATATCTCGGTAAGAACCTGAAGCACTACTTTTGTGCAGGAATTGCCAAGAGATAGGTCCAAGTTCCAACCTTCCAACCTTCATTTTTAGTCTCACTCACAGTTTCTTCCACAATTCCACTCCCAAAACCCCAGAAACTTGGGCATTCTTGGATAGGAAGCAATATAGAAACAGGCACTGTGCTCTACATTTTGTTTAATGTTTTCATTTTTGTTGGTTTTTTTTAACTAAAGAATAAATTCAAAATACATATTGCAACAAACCAGAAATTATTCCAAATATCAAAGAACTTCGTTTGTAGACTACATCTTTGAGAGGGGTATGCTAACATACATTTCATGTTTTGAATGCAATAGTGCCTCATCTGTGAATAACCAGAGTCTTCCAAGTAGCAATCAATCAGCCCTGTGCCTCCTTGGGCACCTGTATAAGGGCAGAAAGGGTAAGACAGTTTCTTCTGGAAGTGAGGTACCAAGCAGTTATTTGAGAGTATTGCTTTCCACACTTGAAACAGGTGCCCAGTTGTTGCTCCTGCATGTTTAAGTGTTCATATATAGACCTGCATGGCCATCCACCAGCCTGCCATTCCTAAGAGCAGGCATTGAATTCTGGAGGCTTAAACTGTAACCAGTCACCTCAATTCCCACACCTTTGTTCCCACTGTGGATTGTTTTTTATTACACAGACCAAGCCAAAATGTTCCGTGTCTGCCAGGCTGTGTTTTTTGCTTCAGTCAGCCATTCTACAAACGGCAAAAAGACAAATGGTCAATTTTCCAACTGCCTACTGAAGCTGCCACCAGGCAGTTTCTCTTCTTGTCATTTGGAGTCCTAAATCACATCTTGTTTCAGACGGCAAGGTAACTGGAAAGGCAACAGGGCTGCTCCATGCTTTATGAAAAACAAGCTCCTTGACGTTGGCAAACACAGATAATAAAAACCCCTCTCGTCTCGTGTATGTGAATCTGCCAGGGTACTACAGAGGTAGGAGGATTCATATCTATCTTTAGCCAAATAAAAATCAGTCATATGCAGAAAGTACTTGATCCCTTAATACAAGAAAATGCCCACCTAGAAGACTATAAGGTACAGATCTAATTATTCTTCAAATTCTCTTTCAAATAGAAACATCCTACAGAGCAACTATTTTCTGGGTATATACCCTGCTTACAAAAATACCCACTGGCTATTCATCACTAGTTTGCTCTTCTTCAGATGCTGAAGTCCTGTAATAACTCTCCTGATAGGAGTTCAAACAAAAAACATGCAAGTATCTTTTTGGTACAAGGTCCTCTCCTTGTGCTTGAGAGTTTATTAAAGACATTTCTCATAGGGACAGTTTCATGAAACAGCCATAATATTGTTCTTAAATCCAAACCCTGACTGATACGAGATAACAAAATGTTACCGGGTTTTATATTAATTAATTTTTCTCACTCAGTAACTTGAGGTCAAGACGACGAAGAAAGAAAATAATGTACCTCTTCTCCTCTAATTCCATCGCTCCCATCTTCCCCATTTTCACCCTGAAATTATACAAATGTGTATGAATTTCTCACAAAAACAACCAGTGCACATTTACAAAATCCAGCAAGAATAGGGTGACATAGACCAAGATGAAGAAAAAAAAAAACAACAAAAAACCCAGAAGAAAAGCTAAACACAAGAATTAATGCTTGATGTTTCATTTCTCATATGTTCCCTAGGCATAACCATAAACTGGGCATTGCAGCAGACATCTACAAAGCAGCCTAAAAAAAGTAACATTGACTTAACACTCACTGACATCTCTGCAAAACTTTCAAAATCTCCATTTAGTGCAGGACAAAGCCCTAAAGAATACTGTACTCAGAAACTCAGACTGTCTAGAGTTATACTGCACCTTTTCCCCAACAAATCCTCGAAAGCCCTGAAAAGAAAAAAAGATGGCAAATGTTAGAATAACATGTGATAAAAACTTTGAAGGATTATTCTAGATCATAATGAAACAGTATTTTCGGAACTTTTGTTTAACCTTTAAACCTCTTTTGCCTGGACACCCTATGTTGCCTTGTCTTCCTTGTGGTCCAGGTGGTCCTCTTGGGCCCTGAAAGAGAGAAAAGAAGAATCCAATCCAGGTCTACATAGGCTGGCAGCTAATTTATCTATTAGAGATATCTGGTCCTGTAGACCTGGAAAGCCTTCTTCTCGAGGGCTGTAGCCCTGGAAAAGTCCCTGGTTGACTGCAGATTAATGAGGTTGCAACAACAGAGAAATGTGCAACTGCAAGATCCTCCTAATTCAGTGACCTATGAAAGATCAAATATAGTAGTATTATCCTAGCAAATATTAAAATATTTTTAATCACCCTTGCTATAATTTTGACTTCTTTTTAGCCATATGCATTGTTCTGTTAATATTCACATTACACTTAGAATCCCCAGTCTCCAGCTACCATTTTGGCAGATCTAACTCCTGTGAAAAAGTATCACTATACTAGTGCATCTTAAATTTGAAACAACATACAACTACAAAAATCTCACAGAGCAGAACTAATATTTGTGGGCCTGCCTGACATGATTTCCACAAAAAAATTCTCCCTGCATGGTGAGATGAAAAAGCAAATACAACGTGATGATACCATTACAATCTGCAGACCTGTTTTTGGAGTGCTGCATCTTGACATATAAAAGAGCAAGCAGTCTTCCAGAACAAGGCCTACAAACTATTACAAACTGGCTGACAACTCCAACAGAAACAGTTACTGCATTCTCCTGATGACAGCTTGGGCCAGGCTCCTCTCTAACATCCATTACACTATTATGCTACTTCCTCACTGTCACTGCAGTTACTTTTAGTTTCCACTGATGGGTCTTTGCTCATTTAGTAGTTTGGTTTTTTTTTTAATTTGAAACAAAAGCTATATAGACAAGAAGTGTTTGCTCTTTTGGGAGCAAACGTATCCATCAAGAGGTGCTCATAGCCTTGTAGTAATTTTCCAGTCTCCTTCCCTTTCATGTTTTTGGTTTCAGTGACCTACCAGCACCAAAAAATATGACACTTTGGTCAAATCAAGAGAATATGGTTCAGATGGTCTTCAAAAAACATAGCTAATTTAGATATAACCAAAAATGTCTAAAAATGGATGCCTAGATCAAAGAGATGGTCTCGCCTGGCTAAAACTGGCTTATTAACAGTTCCTTCTGCAGAAAATGACTGGGCTTGTCTCCATTTGTTTACTTTCAGATTCCCCATACAAGACTTTTAGGCTTTTCAATAATAACTTCAGAAAACATGAAAAAAAATGAGGGAAAAAAATGTTTTTTGTAGAAATCTTCTACAGGCATGAAAATAAGTTCCCAAACAGCTTTGCTAAGTAGGCACCCAGACAGCCACATACACGAGCTAATCAGGTTGTTGTAATATATATCCATTATATCCCAAGAAACGTTACTGAAAATTTTACAATCTTGTCTGTGTTTTATTCAAATGATGTGAGGGAGTTCCTACCTTGGAAAGGTAATAAAACTTTGTAAATTCACTATCCAGATAGTTTAGATGCTCTTTTTTTCCCCTTGCTCAATGGTTTTAGTTTTCACAAACACTTGTTCTTGAAGTGTTATAACTTACCGGTTCTCCTTCATCTCCAAGATATCCCAGGTTGCCTTTAACACCATTTGGTCCCTGAAGGTAAAAGATGAGAGATAATGCTATAATACTTGGTTGACTTCCAGAAACTATTGAGGATATTCTGGAAAAACTCAATGGGCCATTATATTGTTCTTTGCTTGTTCTGTCCCTTTGCTTATTCTGGGCTTCAAACACTGTTGAAAACTTGAATAACAAATAACTTCTTTCCTGATTATTTTTCTCCTGTTGTTTCCCCTAATGTTACTAACAGTTTAATGCATCACTAACGCATTATCTGTCCCACATTTAAATTTGAAGGTGGCCCAATGTTTTTATTAGATGCTCCAGGGAGAAACAATTTTCTGTCACTGCAGGCCCCAGGAAAAGCTCTTTCAAAGTTTTAAAGTGTCTTCAGCAACTAATTATACATTTCAAGACAACATTGAGATATACCTTAATTACCAAATCTTTAAAAGCTGATTGATGGGGAAAAAAAGGGAAAACATCATACAAAATTCATAATCTGTCATAGGTAAATGCTTATTTTGCTTTTTTATGAAGAATGTTTAATTGGTTTGGGTAGAAAACAAGTGTCATTGGCTGCTTCTGCTTCAAATGGTTTCTTCCTGAATGCCTTTTGTGTCAATAATAGTCAATCAATTGCTCTTCTGTCTTTGCTGGTGAGGGGGGGTTGGATGAGATGATCTTCAGAGGTCCCTTCCAACCCAAACCATTCTACGATTGTATGATTGGAGCTTCTCCACACTGGCATGAGACTGATTGCTTTAATGGCCCCCATTTGTCAGCCTGGATGAGCAAGAAAGCATACTGAGGATGACCAAAGAGCAACTGCCACCCATATAGATAAAACATACCTTCTCCAAGTCATGACTTTTGATATAAACCAAACTAAGGATTTGACCTGAGAGAGTCTGGTACCTCTCCTTGTAAGAAGGGAGTGTACTTTAAAAAATAAGCCCCAAATAGATGTTAGCCAGGAAATATTTCTGAACAGATATGGCAGAGGTTTTAGAGGCTATGTAGAGTACTTCCTTGTGTAGTCAAAGCAGATTTTTAGAAGTCAATCACTTTTCAGGCTATATTCTTTATAACCACAAAACTTACAAAAGTTCTTAACGTTTCCAATTTAACATTCTTCCTTCAAATAATTTTCTACTCTAGGTCATTTATTTTTGAAGGAGTTAATGTAACATAACTTTATAGAAGAGCTAGGAGTGCACTATTTACCCTGTTTTGGAGCCCAGGAGGGAAGAGGGATACTAGTAAATAAAGAAGTTGTGGGGATAGTATCTTAAAAAGTGTATGATTGATGAGAACTGTTTTAGGAGACATCTAATCAGCAAAACAAACCATTCTGAATCCAAGGTGGGCATATCCATTGTCCTATGATTCCACACATATGAAAGCTGCACCAGAAACAGCTGTCTCAGGTTTGTGTCTCAGCACAGGCTTAATAGAACTCCAAATGTTTCAGGATTAAATGAGCCATGTGTAGAAGAGGATAAGAAAGAACATTCTTTCAATCTCTCATTGCCCTTCTCCTGTGCAAAAAAATATTTGTAGGCCAAAGAACCTGAATTCAGAAGCCTCTTTTTCAACAGGGTAATGTTTGGAGAGTGAAAATGTAGCCTGGCACACAAGCCATTGTACTGAATTTTGAGGTAGGGCTTCATGTGAGTAGCTGTTATGCTACCAGGCGGGGGAAGTCACTGACGCTGGCATAATATTTTGTGAGAGATTTTTGGAAAGTGAAAAGCCTTCATATACACTCTCTCCTGAGAGAGTGCCCAACCCCCCAAAATTTTATTTAGTCATCAGCTCTGCAAAGTGCTACCCTGCAAGGGGTTGCTTTGTACTTTGTCTTTTGGAGCAGCAAAGTTTGTTCTGGTTGTGAACTGAGGCTGCAAAGGAGCACCTTCTTCTATGGTCATTCAGGTTCCTGTGAAAACTCACAGCATTAAGCAAACTACCAGATCACAGATGCCATGCTAGCAGGTGACAGAGGCTATAGTTTGCCCTGGCAAGGCAGGAACTCACCATCTGGCCTGGCAGAGCATAAGAAATAGCAGCAGGGCACAGCTGTCCTGCAAGTGCACCTGCAAACCTATCTTGGACTTTGCTTAATGTTTATAATGAAAGAAGAACCCAGGGCAGAAGAGATGCTGTGCAGGGGACAAGATGATAAGTGTGAAAAGACTCAAGGGAATTCTTTAACTCCGGAAAAGCAGAGAAGAGCTAGAGGACAAAATAAAGCTATGGCTGCTCAAAAAATGTATGTGAACTAACACTATATAAGCCTGGGCTGCCCATTTTGTCAGCTGTTGGAGTCAGAAAATCCGAAGCCTCCAGCAGCAGTGCTGATGGCTGCTGAAACATAGAGGTGAGAATCAACACCCATTATTGAGTGACCAGTCAACATGTTTGTCTGCAGGGACATCAGGACTGTATATAAATTAATGCTTCACTTATACAGGGGACATTCTTCTACCATATTTGCACTCCTGATGGCTTGAAAAAGTACATTCTTCAAATACCCACATGATAGAGCATGTTTTTATTTATAATTTATGCACACATTTGTCAGAATTCTCAATTATTATGGAAGCTGTCAAAATAAGCTACTTTAAATAGAATTAAATGTTACACTACTGACCTACAGTACAGAATTTCCCACTATTTCTTAATTACATCAAAGGAAAAGAATACAAGGAAAGTCACAGATGTCTGAGGTTTAGGAGGGCTCTGCTGCATTCCTTAACTGGACATCTAGTTAGTAAAAAAAAATAAACATCAAAAGACAAATAATTTCATTTGAAGTACTTTTTGCTTTTTGCATGGATGAACTTGTAATTCCCTAGCCTGGAGCATTTCACTGGCATCTTTCCATTGAATTTAATGGAAGTCTTTACTATCAAAATACAACATCCTCATGAGGTTTTGGTTCTTCCTGGAACTCCTGCAGAAACAACTGATTGCTACCCTAAGTTGTTCCAAGACTGTTAAAAAATGCAGTCATTAGGAACTTCCTGACAGCTCTGAAGAGATATCTCTGAAAGACACACATTCTAGGGAAAAGCAGGCAAGTTGCTAAGCAAAACCATTATTAGAATCTTTAGATGAGCTCATCAATTATGCAATGTTCCCCAGCCTCCATACTACTCATAACTGATGACTGATGCCTCCTCCTGCATTGTTAGACAGAAGGTATATTGTGATTTTGGAAGATATACAAAAATGATGCCATAAAACATAGATAGATAATCATCTTCATCCTCTTGCCTTTCTCCAAAGCAGTCAATAGCAGACAGCTAACAGTGAAAAAATCAACTGGCTTAGATTTAAAATTATCAACACAAGTAAAGGATCTAGATGTTTTGGTTTTAAGACAAGACTTTTCCTTTGCATTTATCATTTTCTTATATCTCAGTGACCAGACTCAAAAGACAGCTTAGTTCTCACCTAAATCACTCAGTGCAGCTCAAGGGGACTATTGGAAATCTATCTGCAGCTTAGGAGAAGCTCAGAAAAGAAAAACCTGTTTTAATGACCCACAGCTCTTCTTGCTGACCTGCAAGGTAATAGCATCAGGCTGGACAATCACTGAATCCTGATTACAGTCACCAGCAGCACTGCATTCACATGCAGAATCATTTTTGTGCATTGCACTCATCAGTAGCTGTGGCAAAAGCAGTTAAGTACCACCCAAGGTGTGATTTTTTTCCACATGCAGCCTATCATTATTTACAACTCAAACTTAGCAATACAAAGCTAGGATGCATTCTTACCTTTATTCCTCCTTTTCCCCTATCTCCGATTTCACCTTCTTCCCCAGTACATTTGCAAGACAAACAGCAGCAGGTCTTCTCAGCAATATTGTTCTTAAAAAGAAGAAGTTACTGAAGATGTAAATGTATTTCCCAAAAATTTCCTCATGGCTTTGCTCCTGCTCTTACTGGAAGCACTCACCATAAGAATACAACGGGACTTTATGCTCTATTAATAGCACGACTCCTTTGTTAGTCATATTTACCAGACTTGACACTTATGGTCTGATTGTGCAAGATCTTTTACCCAAGAACTTACTGTGCACATTCATTCTTTATCAAATAACTTACCAAGATCTTGGATAGCCTGCTAGCAATATCTGTCATGCCAATATCTAAGTGAGTTCCATATTCAAATCCTTTTCCAAACTCAATGGATTGGAGGTTTTGAAAATTGGAGGCTCCTTCCAGAGCAACAGTTATAAGAGCATCCAAACCTAATTATAATAAATATGAATATAAATATCAGTTCCACCGAAAAAATGTTTCTGTACCTTATATATATGTGTATCATGAAGAAGGTGAATGATATCTATTAGAAATGACAGCTGTACCATACTTTTGATGGTATATGATTCTGTAAGTGATTCAAATGAAGTGCTAGTGACAATGAAAAGCCAATACAAGGCTCAACATAAAAATCTTCCTATTTGAATAATGATTAATGACTCAAGACCATATGGTTGATTTGGGTGTTAACATAAATATTCACTTAATCATTTAGCTCTTAGGAAAAACAGAAGCTTTAGGTTGCACTTCTTTTTACATTAAAATAACAACAAATATTGGTGGCTCCAAGTCATCATTCCATCTGCTGTGATAGTATATCTAAAGCTGAGGTAGACATCAGAGAAATTACAGATCTGAATTCTCTGTTTCTCCAACCCAGCTTTGCTGTACAAATGCATGTCTTTACATTGATCTAGAATGACACCAGTGTGAAATTAGAGTAAGCCTGTGGCCACAAGACAATTCCTTAGGTTGCAAAGCAAGAGGCAAAGAGATATGCTGTGCAGTAATGTCCTGAAGTACTCCCCTTGAACTCAGATCATTCAAAGAAACAACAGGGGAAAGTCCATTTCCTGGTTTAAGGGGGAAAAGCACAGTAAGGCAACAATTCAGTTGAAAATACAGTTATATTGGGATTCCAGGGTGAGACTTAGGGAAGGAGCCAAATGCACAGAGGAGTACGCTGGTCACAGCAACAGCAACAAGCAGTATTTTTCCAGGTTTCTGGCTTGGTCCTGAGTCCCTTTTATACAGTTGTATAATGCAGCTGGCAACATCAGCAGATTCAAATCTAAAAAACCTGATTTTACTCTGGTTTAAGTTCCCTGAATCTAGCAGACAGACTCCTGACTCACTTGAACAGAGGCAAGAGCAATCTCTAGCTGAATGATGCTGCGCAGCCCCAGCAAATGAAAGTAAAAAACAGCCAAACCAAACAAAACCCACCCACAAATAAGCCCAACAATGTTTTAAAATTTCTTTTAAAATGTGTTTTAAAACTCAATCCCAAATCATACTCCTACACCTAATTTGCTTATTGACACAGGAAAACTGACCAACCATACACAGCACTCCAAGGAAAACAGTCTTTGGTACAGCTGAGTGAGCTGTTAGGCATATCTACCTTCTCATCTTTCCCATGTGGCTGCCATAGTGTCCAAATGAAGTTCATGTTCTCCCCATTACTACCGCTCTGCAGTTAATAGCATCTTTGCTAAAAGGACTGTTAACGCTCCATTTTACTGCCTGCACTTGTCACCCTTGTACTCCACTACAGCTCTTCTTGCCACTTGCCTGCTGTTCAGAAGAGGGAATTCTTTGCAAGGTTGTTGGGAAAAGAGAGAGACAACAGACATGAGACAACAGATGTCTGTATGGATGAGGGATAAGCACACACCAAAGGGACTGCTACCAGTTGAGAAGCCTTGCATCTCCCTCTAGCAAATCTAGCCCTTTCATCTCCAGTCCTGTTTTTCACGTTTCTTGTACGATGGTCTCCTGCACACATCAGAAAGGCTTAGCCTGTAGCAGCTTCTCAATTCCTCCTGCCCTACATCTCTGGCCCTCGGCTCTGAAATCAGGTGCTGATGCAGATACTGAAGCTTACAGGGCAGGGGGAAGAAAACTACTCAATCTATCTTCTCCCCACTCTGCTAGGTTTCTGTGTGAGAACAGATAGTGAGGACAAGGCAGATTGATTGGTGAAACACACAGAGATCTGTGGCTGTGGGAAAGTAAGTTAAACATTGTAAGAAAGGTTGTTTCAGATCATAAAATCTCTAAATGTGGAAGTCATGCAAAGAAGCATTACTGTTTACTTAGCCCTGTTACCAGGGGTTTCCCGAAACATCCACTGTTAGTCACAGACAAAGATAAGGGCCAAGGCAGGAAGACAGTCTTATCTGGCATTGTCAACCTCACTTTAATGGAGCTATTCTGATTTATATTGACTGGGCATCTGAGACCACAACTCCTTTTGTTTGCTGCTAATCTCCCTCTGCTCTTTCTGCAGAAAAAATTAAATACCTCTTCTCACCCCATAGCTAGGCCACTGGAGAAATTAAACATTCTGACTTATCTAAACCAGATACCTTTCTTTTTAAGTTCTTCAGATTTTTCTTCGAGTGCTTCTAAGTCATCATCCACACCATCTGAAAACACAAGTAATACCTACAAAGACATAAAACAGAGAATTTAAATTACACAGAAGCAAAGGACAATTGTACTTCAATCTTTCTTTTACAATTTTGAAGAAAGGATTTTGTCATCACATGACCTTTTGTCGGGTCTCATCCTTGTTCCTAAATGTTTCCCAGAGTGACTGCAAGAATTCAACATTAAGTTGGGATGGTGTCTTGATCACAGCTTCTGACAGGTTACGCAGGACAGATTCACTGTCAACGTAGAACTTTGTGGGTATCGGGGTAACAGTATTCTTCACTTTAAGAGCCACGCTGCTCTGTGCCTTGGACCCAACATTGCAGCTCACGTCCCTTAGAGACAGAAGGGCTTGCAAAATCTCAGGGAAATGCTTTTCCAGTCTGGTCTGTCCATGAAATAAGTGTTGGCCTTCCCTCTGTGATGAGATGTCAAATCCCACAGTGATATCCACAAAACAAGCTACTGTTGGGAAAATCATAAATAAATGCATCAAACAATTTTCATTTCAGGTAAAGAAAAACAGAAGAGAAAAAACACAACAGGGGGAGACCAACGCACATCAGCTAAGTAGGCAGGAGCCTCTGGAATCTGTAATCTTCAAGCCTCAGGTAGATTATCTAAAATGAATCATCAGGTCTCTAATTAATTTAGAGACATGTTCATCTTAAACCCACTCAGATGAATTGCTAATTTCTAGAGAAAAATTGAGGAAATGAAAAGCATATTGGATAGATAAAGCTGTCAAAAATCCCTAAATGCCTTTAACTGAAAATGTGTTCTGTAATGATGCTTATATAACCAATATAAGAGCCCATCCTTCTTAACAGTATTCCTTCCCCTTATTTCTGAGCTACAGGCAATTGAGTAGGTATCATTTAGAAAATCAGAGGGCTGTTTGCTTTTAACATATTGTGCTGGAGAGTTAACAATGTAACTGCTGTAGTATTCTCATTCCTTTAAAAGTAATGCTATGCTTAATGTTAAAGATTTGGGCCAATACCAAATCACTTCCCTTCTTTGCTCTTCATCATCAGTACTTAAAGGGAGCCTATAGGAAAGATGGGGAAAATCTTCTTAGTAGGGCCAGCTGTGACAGGACAAGGGGTAATGGTTTTAAACTAAAACAGGGTAGCTTTAGACTGGATATAAGGAAGAAATTCTTTACAATGAGGGTGGTGAAATACTGGAACGGGACGGGGCTCTGAGCAACCTGATCTAGTTAGCGGTGTCCCTGCTCACTGCAGGGGGTTTGGATTAGATGACCTCTAGGGGTCCCTTCCAACCCAAAACATTCTATGATTCTATGATCATGTTTTTTACCTGCGCTTGCACATTCATTGCAGCATGCACAGCTCTGCAGAGTTAGCAGACAGAGCAGGGGCGCCCAACTCTCAATATGCATTTTAACATAATTTCTCACTGCATGCGAGGTGATGGGAAAATCAGAAGCAAAATGAAATCACATGCCGCAAAATGAGTAGTACTGCCACCATGTCTCTTGTTTAATTAGATGTCAGGTTACTCTGATCTGTAGTATGACTGAGTCACTGCATGGGTATTCTGTGACATGAATGAATTCCTCATATTATTTCTGTCTCCAACTCAGAAGAAGAAAAAATACACATTTTTAAGAATTACACCTATTGCTACTAGTACCTTGTTTTTGCTCTGCAACAAGGTACTTCTGTTTCTGCTTCTAACTTTCTCAAGTTAGTGTTTGGATGATATGGCATCACAGTTGCTGTTAACCCAGAAGCAAAACCTATCTGAAAGTGCTAAAACTCTACTGTGAGTAAGGAAGTGGATAAAAATTATACACTCTAAAGCTTGGATATAAATTTAAACAATTAAAACTAAAATCTTCAAGCCTGGGTTGTATGATCTCAATCAATCAGTTCAAATTTGCAGAAATGAGAACATAAGTATACAGATAAGTTAATGAAGAGTACAGTAGGGTGTGAGCTTGCAGAAAACTTACTAAATTCACAGTAACTGTTCACGTGCATCTAAAGAGAGTATTTGCATGGGCAGCAAGGGAGAAGCTAGCACAATGCAAACTGACATGGGCAGTTACTTGTTTGTCAGTTCACATCCTTTATTCTGTGGAGGCAGCAAAGAGAAAACATCTGGGTCATTTCTTTCAGCAATTTTAGAGAGACTGGATGTAGCTAATTTATTCCACCGAGATCTTTATCTTCATGTGAGTGAGAAGAATTTTTCTATTCTGTTTTCAGAGTGTTGCAGAAGATCAACCAAATGTATTCTAAAGAACAATTAGAACTGGGAAGCATACTTAAAGCAGCACATGGAGATCTCAGAAAAGTTTGGTTCAGGGATGTTTACCTTTTCTATTATCGTCCTCACAAATAACATCAACCAGTCTTTTTTTAATGTTTTTCAAGTTAGAAAAATCATCAACGGCGTATTTCCTACTTGGTGATCCAGTTATCTGTGTTAGCTGGGACTGATCGACATTTCCCACGCCTATGGCATATATATCAACACCTTTCTTCCTCAGGCTTTCTGCTGCTCTTGCAGCTCTACTGCTTGTTCGTCCAGCAATGATTACCAGTAAAATCTGTTGGACATTTTCATGTATTCTGCTACCCTTTTCTGGTTGGAAGTTGTGTTTCACTTTCTCAAGTGCATTTACAATATTACTTTGGCGTCCTTTAATTTGTTTGATGCTTTGAATTTTAAATTCTAGTTCTGATCTGTTTGGAAAAAAGCTGAGGCTGAACTCTTCTTTATAGACACCACCATAGACTGCAAAGCCAATTTTGGTATTTTGAACAATAACAGCTGGATTGATTAAACTTGTCACAAAGTCTATCATTATCCTGAAGTTTTCTTCATCTATGCTTCTGGAACCATCCATTAGCAACATAACATCTGCTTTCTTTGGACAGTCTGCAGAAGATAAAGGAAAATATATTATTAATAAAGTACACAATTCTATGTCTATCATTAATAATCCTGCCTCTACCTCCCATATCCCACTAGTCACATTGACAAAACCAACCCCAACAAATAGATCTACAAAAAGAAAGTTAAGCATATAAAATGTAACGTACACAAAAATTCAGTCATCTAGTTTCAGAACACAAAACATACTCCTGTAAGCACGTGTGTTGCAGAGTAACTATAGATACATTTCCCTCTTGCCCACTGAGCAAAGTTACATTGGCCTAACCAAATGTCCACAGGGCAATGACACATTTCATCTCATCCTTGTGCAAATGCCTAATAAGGTCAGGTGACCCACACACCAAAAATGCCTATTTCTGTCCATGCTGCTTAGAAAGGAAAACTACGGTGACCAGACATGACAGGTACAGACAGCTAAAGCAAAGTAAGATAAATCCCATCCTATGTGTATATACAAAATTGGGACTCTTCAGGAGCCATAGATGATGTGTCTTCCCTGTCTGAGAACCCAACTGCTCTCAGCATGCTTATCATAGCCCAAAAGGACCAACTCCCAAATAAAGCACAGCAGCCATAGCTACTTCCATTCGGAAAGATGGCAAGAGAAGGTAGGACTGAGTAGCTACTACAAGAGCTGAACTGAACAAGCAGGAGAGATTACTGTAATTTAAATTGCGATAATCAGATTATGTTATCTGTATTGATCGGCTAGATGCCTTTGCAAGACTTTCCTTCAAACACAGTTGTAGGAGAAGAGGAAGCTGAACAAAACAGCCAGTTGTGAGTACACGCTTACCTGGTACTGAAATATTACATATATCATTTGTTATATTTGCAGTTAAGTTCCCAAGTCCTTCAAAGGTATCCACATAGAAGCATTTGTCCTCTGATCCAGCCATTATCAGAAGCTCATTTCGCTTTGCTCCTTCTACTCCAACTGCGTAGATGGTAATTCCTTTGTTCCTTAATCTCTGGGCTGAATCATCCAGTTTGTCTTTATCATGGGATTCCCCATCAGTTATCACTATAATTACCTGGGGAACTCCTTTGCTCTTGCGGCTGCCATGTTCTTCAGTGAAGAACATTTCTGAATGGAACAGTGCCTTTGCTGTGTAAGTTCTTTGTCCTAGAGGGTCATCTCTCTGGATAGCCTCAGTAATCTCCAGTTTTGTAGTATACTTATTAAGGTAGAAGAGCACTACTGGGTCATCAGAATATTTTAGTGCTCCAAACTGAACTCCATCTGGGCCAACATCAGATTGTTTCACCAGGGCAATCATGAAGTCTTTCATGGCCTGATACTGTGAGGGGCTTATGCTTCCAGAGCTGTCCATAACAAACACAATGTCTAAACGTTCCACTCTTCTGCATTCTGTAAAAGCAAATTGAGAAAAGCGAAGATTTCATGTGTAAAATTATACAGGATCTTACTGATTATTATAACACAAGTCCATTTCTCAGAGTTCTGTGCAATGTGTGTATAACTTTGCTAACTGAATGGTGTTTGCACATATAACTGTCTTGTTACTATCAATAAGCTGCACCTATGACAGATTTTTTTGCTTCTGAGACTGTTCAGTGTGAACTACATGATTCCAGTAATCAGAGCAGAGTTAGACTAAACTGAATGTTTTCTTAGTTATCAAAAAAGCTATCATTTTGGTCTGGACACCACAGTACAGAGCCTATATAGCAAACAGAAGTTGTCATATTTCAATTGATATTGTGGAAATATTTCTAATAGCTTACAATATCCAGCCTACTCCCTGGTGGGAGAATGGTCTTGTCCCTCTGAAGGGCCATGTTCTCCCACTCACAGACATACTGAGCAGCACAGATGATAGCTGGCAACTCGTTATATTTCAAGCTTCCCTGTTTACACCTGCTCTTTCTCACTACAGAAGCTACTGATGCCTTTTCCAAAACTGCGGAGAAGAAAAAATGATGCTTAATATCTTGGCTAATTGCAGTAGTACTTAAAAACACTCCTTAGCTACAAGTTCTGTATTGCAGTAGTGCAAAGACACAGCCACATGACTGAACATTGACTGTTTGGACCTCTTAGGACTCTGAGTAAATCACCCTTGCATGCCTTATGTTTTGCTCTTGTCCCCACTCTCCCCGCCAGTTCCGCCGCCTCGCCCCTAGGTGAAGAAAGGGAGTTTTGAAAGCTCAGAAACTGGATGCTGTGTAAACTTCAGTACTGAACTCAATGGTTAACCCCGCCTCTTTTAAGTGAGTGCATTTCCATGACTGAAGCAGCAACTTTGAATCTGAGTTTCAGCAAGTTGTTCTACCTTTATACAGCAGAGAGAGATCAAAATGTACACACCCTTTAAAGCCTTTTGCACTGTCACAGCAATACAGTATGTCTTAGTGCAATTGAGTCAGACAATGCATAGCTGCTATTCGAGTGTTTTTTAAAATCCTATCTCATGTTTGCAAGTACAGCTGGCATCCATGAGAGCCTGCAGCAGCAGGACACCCCATCTGCTTCTTTTTGCTGTCTGACCGCTTGCCCCATTTACACCCTCAGCTAATGGTATCGTCCCAAGAAAAAAGCAATCCAGTTCACTTTGTTGGCCAGGTCTGTAAAGATTATAAATATTGTATGCACGCTTGCCTGCCAGTGTGGCTTAATATGACTACATTCATTTAATCTGCATAGGGGGGGAAAAAAAAATTAAAGAAGAGAATGGCTTGAATTCTTAATTGGTTTTGTCCAGAAAGGGCCACATCAGGGAACACAGAAGGATAAGAAATTTCAAGTGGCATTACAAATGTACTCTTGCAAAAGACACTGATTGCACTGTAGTTGCCTCTGGCCCCAGTGAACTGCACTCAGTGACAGCGTGGGCCTTTCCAACACTGCTACTCAGAAAAAAATGAGACTGAGTCATCAGAAGCTCCCTTTCTTGCCCCTCTGTGGAGCCCACAGAAATAGCAGCTGAAAGGCATGTATAATGAGATGGCAATTAGACTTCAAAGGAAGGAGTGGGTGAAGCCTTTTCTCTGTTAGCTTTATTCACCCTATGTAAAGACCCATACTTTTCCATGCAGGTGTCTAATCTCACACACTCAAGGGAAAGAATCAGAGGCACCCATGCTCGGCTAGATCTCCGGGGCGTGAACAGAGTGGTCAGAGCCCTGTGACTCAGAGTGGTGCCGCAGGAGACCTCCGAAGTGCCCCCCTCAGAGACAGAGCAGTGGGAAGCAGAGAATTCGCATGGGAAGAACTAACACTAGGACAGAGAGGCAGCCAGCTCTGTGACTGCGACACTTCACTTGACACTAACAAGTTCAGAACAAAACCCCCACTACTGCGCATGCATTAATAAATGACTGGAAGTTACCATACTTACTGTCATCAGGAGGACTACTGCAAATGTAAAACATGAGGTCCTTTTTTGTCTGGCTTAGAATATCAGAATTTTCGCCATAGAATACCATCTCACGCTTCCCACTAATCTCTTCAAGCTGGGTTTTGTCTGCGTTAAGAACTCCAACAGAGTAGATGATAACACCTGTATTTCGGAGTAGTGTGGCAGGGACTTTAACTTCATCTTGCGATTCCCCACCTGTGATCAGGATGAGAATTTTTTTAACTGCGTCACGTGAACCACTACTGTCTTCAAAGTATTTAAGCATGAACTTCAGTGCTCCTCCTGTCAGTCTGGTGGATTGAAGGGGAGATATCCTATCAATAGCACGGAGGATATCTCTTTTGGTGGAGTAAGTGCTGAGCTTGAACTCTTCCTTTGGTTTGTGGCTGAACTGGACAACACCAATCCGCACTCTGTCTGCACCAACATCTGATCCGTTCACCAGCTCTCTCATGAAGTTTTTAATTTTCAGAAAATGCTCATTTCCAATACTTGCAGAACTATCCACTAGAAACACAACATCAGCTTTCACTTCTTTGCAGACTGTCAAGGGAAAAAAAGATTTTTAAGCTTAGGGTTTTTTACATTTCTTGAGAAAATACACAAGTTGAACAGGCAGAATAACCTCAGAAATAGGAAAGAAAGAATAAGCATAAACCTCTTCACACTCTAAATTTTATTAGTTCACCGATAAGTTATGACTTCAACTAAAATACTTTACCCCCGCAGATCTGAACAAGGGCATTATTAACTTAATCAGTCGCAATTCAACCAGTCAGCATTAAATCACAGCCAAGCAACTGAAGCAGCATTTTAAGATCAGCAAGGAATTCCTAAAATAAAAATCTAAAGCCTGTTGCTAGTCAAGTTTTGGAGCCTGAGAAACCTGGAAATCTTCTCTTCATTTCAGTAAGGCAGGAAACAGCAACTTGTTTTACAGAAAGAGGTGAGTCAAACCAATGGTAGGTACAAATGGACAACCTGTGCGCTGGTAGATCACATTTAAGGACATTTATTCATTAATGTTTTAAAGGGTAGTAAGAAATAAAACAGGGAGGCATTAGTGCAACACAACCTTTGCTTGTTTCCTGGTGAATGCTGGCCAAAAAGCTACCAATTAGAGAATACTTATTTCTACATCATTACTTTAAATTGTAAAACTGTCTTATTTTGACTTCTGCACATCTCAGTTCTAGAATCCTATTTGAGGGATATGCTGTGCCTGTCTACACCTGATAAAAGAGACTGGCTTGTCTGAGATAAGGGAAACAGCAGGCTCAACAGCTAGCTTTTAGAAAGATATGTTCAAAATTAGATACATTCACAGACCTAGTTGTTCTACAGTGATGTGATTTTGGATGCCTTTGACATTGGTAGCTCAATTTCATAGAATCATGGAATCAGAGAATGGTTTGGGTTGGAAAGAACCTTTAAAGATCATCTAGTCCAATCCCCCACCATGGGCAGGGACATCTTTCACTAGATGTTGCTGAAAGGCCCAAGCAACCTGACCTTGAACACTTCCAAAGATGGGGCATCCACATCTTCTCTGAGCAACCAGAGAACAAAGTCTGTAATATACAGGCAAGAGATGCTTGGTGTTTTCTGAAAATAAGATCTTTTCATGATATTGGCCAACATTTAAGCCACACAAAAATCACCATCACCCTCTGAAAACTTCAACTGACCGACAGTGAAATTGTTCAAGCTAGATAAAAAGGTATCTTACATTATTCATGAAATAATTTCTCTGTCAAAAAAAAAAGGAATCTGCTTATTTTCTGTGTTGCCAGGACAAAGTAAAAGTGTGTTCTTACCTTCTATGGTACAGATCTCTTGGACAACTTCATTTTTAATGTCTTGCAGTAAGTCAAAATCATGTACGAAGTACACTCTGTTTTTCACTCCTGCAATCTCATAAAGCTGAGTTATATTAGCTTCCCTCACACCAATGGCATAAATGTTAACCTGGTCTTCCCTAAGTTTCATGGCTGGTTCCTTCACGCTGTCCTGTGACTCTCCGTCTGTGAGAACAATTAGATGGCAAGGCACTCTAACTCCTCGCTGACTCCTGGCCTTTTCAAACAATGGCTTCATGTAAGCTAGAGCTCCCCCTGTACTGGTGTTTCCACCTATTTGCCGAATATTTTCAATCCCTTTTATCAAATCACTTGCTGAAGTGTATTTATTAAGTTCAAACTCTGGTTCATTGAAATGTGAGAACTGCACGAGTCCAAATCGAACTTTATTTATTCCTATGTCAAACAGCCTAATCATTTCCTTCAAAAAAGTCTTCACATCCATAAAATCCCTGTAGTCAAGACTTGATGAACCATCCACGAGCAAATAAATATCAGCTGCTTCTGTGTCCAGACAGCCTATGTGGAATGAGAAAGTCTCCGTTACATCACCGTTGTGCACATGGACAGATCACCTACCTCCACTCCTTTTGTAATACATAATAAATGAATACATGGATAAACTCTCCATCTGGTAAGAAAAAAGTTGGCAAACTTAACGTGCTAGGTATCTTAGGCATGGCAGCAAGAAACAAAACGCTATTCATCCGTGGCTATATGACTGCTTTGTCCACAGAAAACAAAACTGATAGCTTGGAGTTTTCTACCACATCTGAAATGTTTTTAAGCAGCTACCTCCAGCAATTCCCAGACTTCTGACTACAACTTATATCAGACATCAGAATTCATCATGCATCATTAAATAGCCATGTTAAACATTTAACCAGTATTACTGGTTTTACTGTTGAATAAGGTTCCAGCAGCAGTCCACCTAATGTTCTGATTGTCCATAGCAGGAAACCACTGATTTTTAGTGCTCTTAGGCATAAATTCACTGGTAATTTTTAATAAAATATATAAGGCTACTCCATTGTTATTACTACTTCTAGACCAGTCTGAAAACTTCAGCCACTTCATTTTGCTGGGACATACACTCTGGCAGCTTAAGATCTGCCAAAAACCCCATGATGTACATATTCTTGTCTATTGTCTAGGTTTGATCAAAATAAAGGGTAGACTGACTGGAAGGTTAACATTCCTGGGGAAATATCATTCAGATGCAGTGTCTTCCAACAGATCAAGCTCTATCAGTGCCTTAGTAAGTTTCTAACTTACTCTCTAAAAAGAATGGTTGATGTTTCTGCCATTATTAATCTTCCTATTAAATAATGGTACAAATAAACAGGCTTTTAATCCTACTGAACTTTAGCAGTATGCTAATGAGTAAAAAAATGAATCCATGTTCAACTTTAAATATTAATTGCCCTTCTCAAAGGTTCAAACTGAAAAGTTCAGTTTGAAAACGTGAGAAGGTTCTTAAAGCCTCAATCCGAGTTCAGGACAGTCTTCAGTTAAAACCCCTTAACCTGGAAAGAACCGAAGTTATTTGGAAAGCTTTACCTGTTTTGAGAATCTCTTTTCTTTCAGAGTCAACATAGAGCTTGTTTTGTATTTTATTCAAGACCTTCTTTCGAAAAATTGTATTTTGCCTTTGCAGATCAGAAAACACCCTGAGACTGGTAACATACTGCTCTTGAGGGTAAGAGGCTATCTGGACCAGCTGTTGATCAGAAGCATCTTCAACTCCTACGGCAAACACTGTCACACCACTTCTCCGCAGAAGAGTAGCAACATCACTTACATTGTCCTGAGAGGGTCTGTGGGTAACCAGAACAGCTATTTGCTCTACCCCTTGCTTCTTTCTGCTCCCGGCACCTTCAGCAAAGAGTTTTAGCCTTGTGACATTAATAGCTGCACCGGTCTTGGCTTCTCCTGACCCAGCAGAAAGCTCCTGTATTATCTGCAGAATTTCAGCTTTGTTTGTGTCTCTGTTCAGATGAGACACCACTTCTTGTCCATCAGTGTATATCACCAGGCCAATTCTTATGCATTTCTCCTTCACATCAAATGAGGATGTTAGGTTTTGCAGGAATTTTTTTAATTCTTCAAAGTTTGACTTTGAAGTACCACGATCAACTATATACACAATGTCAGCAACCGTGTCTCCATCACATACTGCAGTAGAAAAAGGATGAGAATAAAACCATGTTAGTGGCCATCCAAGTTTGTAAAAATGTTTCTTAGCCAAAGATGACAAGGTATTGAAACAAAAACTGATAAAACCTCACTTTAAATTAAAATAAATGACCAAAAGATCAGATGGTTTTTATAGGAAGCATATTCTTGTAACTTCAACTCTTGTTTGTGTTTTCTAGTGTATTGATCCAGCAGATACTGTGTAAGGATATTGGTTGGACCATGCATGTTAAAAATCTTCAAGTACAGGGTTTTTTATTTATTTTTTAATGACTCAGCTGATATATATCAGAAGAAAAATGCCAGTGCACAAACCTATTTTCAATACTACATGAACAGTATAAGTTTCTCAGCTGTACCATAAAGGATTTGATAGCAGAGAGTCTAATATAACTCCTTTAACTCACACTTGCCAAAGCTCCTCAAAGACTATTCATTAATTTACTAATTGTGGAGAGTCCATACCCTCATAAGGAGTTGTATTTCATCAACAGATTCTAGTTATATCAATTACCAATGAGTAAAAGCAACAAAAGATGACTAATATCAGATGATGTAAAAAGCACCAAATTTTAAGAATAATGCCAAGGGCAAAACTTCATGGGCATGAGAGTATGTCCATCTCATCCATAGTCCTACTTCCCTGTTTTAAAATATGCTAAGACTAGGCAATGTATTTAAAACCATGGCTAACACATTCCTATTCTTTGTTTTTCAGCAGCCTGTGTATCTTGAACGTTACATAGGTTGCTGGAGATGAGAAGGTATATGAGGCCTAGAGCGGCTAGCATCAGACTGAAGGTCTAAGTCCTTAGATGTCATCTCCCACATTATTGATTTTCTTACCTTCTGCTTCTTTAATGCTATCCATTTGGAACTCGACAATAATATTGGAGACGTTTTTAGAAAACATAGGGAGGTCCCATTCCTTTGGAAAATAATAAGAGAATGACTGCGTAGCCATCAAGCTCAGTTCTTGTATCACTGCTTCATGTATCCCGAGGGCTATCACTTTTACTCCATTTTCTTGTAACATTTTAGCTGACTCTTCCACATCATCTTCAGAAGGCAAAGACGACAGGACTACTAAAACCTGATTTCTACCTGCTCCATTAACGGGTTCTTTGAAATAACTTTCATAAATCCTACGGAGTGCATTGCCAGTTTTTAGCGGCCCACCTTGCAATGCTTGCATTTCTTGCACATGCATCAGCATATGCTTCTTTGTTTTATATGTGTCCAGTTCAAACTCATCATGAACATCATCATTGTACTGGGCAAGTGCAAGACGGTATTGGTTAGATTCCAGTGGCAGATCGTATATCAATTTGCTAATAAAGTCTTTAATGTAAGGAAACGTGTAATCTTCCACATCCTGTTGGCCAGGAAGCAACAGAACAATATCTGTACTATCTGCAGAGGCCACACAAAAACATAGCATTAGCATTTTTAACTAAGACTCCAGACACAAAGAACACAATATTGAGGCAATAAAGTGACATAGTGCTTGCTCAGCAATAGTCTAAGAACAGAAACAGAAAAGCTTAAACAGTTTCTATACCGAGAAGCTGGTCTATATAATTTTTACTTTTTACTCTTTTACTGTTACAACATGTAATTAATGGCGTTCTAGACAAATGCTGACTTGCCCAACGTGTGATGTTCTTGCTGACTTTAACAAAGGCTGACACATCTGTGATTCCTCAAGATCAGGCTGTATCTTCATTTTGAGGAGATGCTAAGATCTTACATTCTTACATTTCTTATTAAGGAAATTAATTCCTTACATTAGTCCTAGTAAAGAAAATGCTTTCCAGTATTCAATTTCTTTCAGAATTTGAATTTTTGAAAGCAATTGCTTTCCCATGCCTTCTTTCAGTTACAAATATCAAGGGCCTGGATTCAGTTCATATTTTGAATTTTTTCACATTTTGAAATATTTCATAGATCAAAACCCAGTACAGGAGTTCTGCTCCAACTAACTAATTCTTCACAGGCCCTTTAATACCAGTTGTTATGGAAATGGAAACAAATTTTCAAAGAATGAAATAAAACACACAACAAAGTGGTAAAATCCATCATTTGGAAGTTGGCAGGTTCAGAACTGCTTGTCAGCACCAATTTTGCCACCCGTACACCCTGTTTCTGCATGACACAGAGTTCCCATGGGAAAAATTAGGAAGAAATTAAAGACAAGCCTGTAGTTAACATGCAAGAGGGAGTATGATTTAACATTGCTCAGGAGACTTTCGGTTTATGCTTTCCTACCTTTGCAGTAATCATTTTGGCAAACTTAACTTTCTCTCTCTGTGATGTTTGTCTAATACAAGAGAATTCATAGTTTCACTAATTACGTTTAGAATTATTTGAGACTTTCTGCTGAAAAAGTTTAGTGATTCTTTTTAAAGAAAACTCTATGCATCCTTTGTCTACTGTAGCCCTTTCAGACAAGGTGGGAAAGCAGCTTTATCCCACAAAAGTTTTATCCAGATTTAGGAAATTTGCACACAGCTAAAAATTAATATTTCTTTTACTTTGCATTTCTTACCAAGGAGAGTTTAGGCAGGTGGATGAAACAACTGCCAGCCAGAAATGCTAAAAGTAGTAAAAGTCACACTGACCCCAAGCAGCAGAAGCACACAGGGATTGCCTCAAATAGGACATGAGACCACCTGGTGTGATCCCTCTCTTTCTCCTGTAACATGTCATAACTCTTCCCCTCCTTCCCTTCCTAATGTCCTTTTGGATTGTAGAAAAACTCCAGGAAAATAATGTTTAGACCATGCAAGAAATGCATGGTTTAGGACCCCCTGTCTGACAAATATTTTAAAAGTAATAAAAAGCTGCTCTAATCTCAGAGTAGTATCTTCTAATTGCTTGCATCCTGGGGAACTCTAGTACTGTAAATTGAAATATGAGAATTATGCACTGTCATAATATCTGTAAGAAGTCCCCTACATCAGCAAGGTCCGATCTTCAGCACAGAAATTCACTGTGCCGCTCAAGAGCCTGCATGCCTGTTGACCTTTTTAGTGCTCTCACTGAGGATGCAGTTAGGGAAGAAATAATGGCTTGCACTAAAGCTCCAGTGCAGTGTCTCCTGCATATGCCAAAAACTGTGTTTCAGAAATGCAATACACACACTTAAAAAGTAGGAGGAGTCTAAATAGGGGAGAGAAAAGATTAAGACTACAAGCAATCTTCCCATTTATCTGCCACAGAGCCTTAGTCCAGCTGAATGGTAACGAGCCTACTTTAAAAAGGAAAAGCCCACAGTTGGTGTTGTGCTCTTTCTTTTTCTCTCTCTTCCAGCTGCCTCTCTGTACAGACCACACAATATACATTACAGATCACACATGCAATATTGAACTAGCATTCAAAATCTGACTGATATCTAGCCACAAGTCCAGACGAAATATTTGCTAACTGATGTTCTTTTTTAATGCTACCCAAAAGTTACCTTAACATTTGGAAATACAATGCAATATAGTTCATTTTTTCTGATGGATTTTTTTTTCATTAGAATACTGAAAATTATCATTACTCTCTGTGGGACAGACATGAAGTAGCACAGCTTACCTTCTTGCACAGCGCTGTCATTGTAATCAGGTATATTTATTATGTCGCTGATGTTTGCTTGAATAATATCATCAATGATCTGTGGCATATGTTCTGAAAATTTAGGCAGCTCCTCTATCACTGGATTTATGTAATGAAATGGTGGGGTGGCCATCTCTAAAAGATCGTTATATGGAGCTTCTTTTGTCCCTATAGCTATTATCTTTACTCCATGACTCTTCAAGCTTCTGGCAGCTTCTCCAACATCATCTTCTGAGGGTGCTGATGTCAAAATCACAATGATTTGTTGCTTCTCTTTCTCACCTGCTGACTTTTGGAAAAAGGTTTCATAAGCTGCATTGAGGGCATTTCCAATGTGCACTGCACTCCCACCACGAAGTGCAAAGTCATCCCTGATATGATTCACCATAGGACCCTTTCTTCTGTAAGTGTCCAGCATAAATTCAGTGGACAAATCATCACTGTACTGAGCAAGCGCCAGCCGAAACTGGTTAGGCCCTATTGGTAGGCCTTCAATCATACGGATCGTAAAATTTTTCACATAGGGGAGAGATGAAGGTTCCATAGTGTCGGAGCTGTCAACTAAGAGGACAATATCTGTAGGGACTGAAACACAGAAAACTTAAGTTTGCTACATAGCCTTTCTCTTCTGGAGCTATAACATAGTCAGGCATTGCAACTGTCAAGAAACGAGACTTTGACAGAAATTCTGCACCTCAGGTAAGTGTGCTAGGGGCCACACAGAAAAAATGGATGCCTGCAAATAGGGAAGTCTCTGGTCAGCTGCACCATGACAAAATTAACCAGATATTCCATCAAGTGTAGTTTCTCTTAGCAACCCAAACCCACAAAAATAAAGGAGAGCAGGAGTAAGATATAACCTCTACCTTTCTGCTTTGCCTGCTTACATCTAAGTCAGTCTTAGGTGGTTTCTCCTGCACACAAGATCATGATGTAGGTAAAATTTTCCAAGAATGGGAGAGCTCACTGTTTCGCAAAAAACATGGAGGAACAGGCTAGGAGATAGATTGCTGGCATGGGAAATTCAGCAACAGGGGCCACAGAAAACCATGTTTACACATGCCTAGGAGCCCTGTACGGGGACAACTGGCAGCTACACTATCCCCTGGCATGTCTGTAGGGATGAGTTGCAAGGTAGGGCGACGGCAGGGACCAACCTCCTGCAGCCCATTCCCAGGCAAGGCTGCACTCTAGAAAACGGCCAGCCTCACCTCAGCTCACGTCCCCCCTCCCCTCCCCTACACCTCAACCTTCACTTCACACCTCATCCTTCAGCTCATATCTTTAATTTCACCTCACCGCAAAATCTCAGCTCACACCGCACCTCACACTTAGCTCACCCCTCAAACCTTGCCTTACACCTCTCACCTCACCTCAAACTTCATCTCACCTCAAACCTCACCCCTCAAACCTCACCTCACACCTCATTACCTCACACATCCCCTCTCATCTTCCCTCCCACATTGTACCTTACACCTCAAACTTCACCTGTTGCCATCCAAACTCAGCGTCAGCTACTGTGCATAGAAGTTTCTTTAACCTCTCAAGCTTCTGATCAGTATTTAGTGCAAAAATGGTGAGCTGAGATTTTTTTTTCTGCATTAAGGACTGCATTAAAAAAGAGGTAATAAAATACCAATATTCTGGGAAACAGACGTGTGCATCTCAAAGAGGATGAAGAACAAAGCCAGCAGCATCTTCATCTCAAGGCAGAGTCCTCTGAGCATCCTCTCTGAGGGAGGTGAAAAGAATGGACACAGTCAGAAAGTTGAAGAAACTGGTTTTTAACCATGCATGTGCATGAGGAAGAGGCAGTTCTATTGAAGTCCAGATGCATCCTGCTTTGGTTTTTTTTTTTAAATTTGGGGGAAAGTGGAAAGCACTTAAGTAGCCACCTGTTAATCAAATGGTAATTATTATTACAAAAAAGTGTATTTTGAACAGCTATTAACCGTTAATGAATGGGCATGTTTATGATTTCAGGAAGGCTGGGTGTCTTATATTGAAATACTACTATTTTCCATTAAAGGTTTTAATTTTGTTTTTTAAAATAATCTGTGGTGAAAAGCTTTTTGCACAATGTTGACAGATGATCCAACTTCTGCTGATTTCTGTGAGAGCAAGACTGCACTCTGAGGCTTGATTTGTGTGACCTTATTTTAGCTCATATTCAGCATCCATCGGGTAACAGCATTCAGATGCTGAAAGTTTATGGAAATAAACTAACAACCAAAGGAGTCACTGCCCTCCTGGGCAGAGAGCTCCTGCTCTCAATAGCCAGTATGAAAGGAGGAGGAAAAGTCCCATTTAACAGTGTGCTTTTCTACTTGCACTACTCTGAATTTGAAGAGCTATAGGAGTAAACCTATGCCAGATAAAGGCTATTTCAGTGTAGGCTGTGTTGTCTCCAGCCCTGCATGGAAAATGGCACTTTAAATGTCTGAGCGACCAGTCATTCCTCACCCTCCCTATAAGGGGAAGCCCTCTGCATGCCGGTTTGGTTGCCAGCTGGTAAGCTTTTAAAAGCAAAAATAATTCATAGAAATATTTTCCAGTCTTTCCTGGGAAATCTTACGTTGTCCTATAAATATTCCCCCCCAATCTCAGCCTATGATTTGTCCATGCCTGTGAACATCCTGCTTTATGGAAATACTGCACCCACAGCTGCCTGCGCTTGGAGCCAGTGCTGGTGCCAGCGGCTCTGCAGGGAAAACCACTCACCTGCGAGGAAAAGCTGAGTAAGAAAGGTCCTGGAGCAGCCCGAGGTGGATCCTCGGGAGCCCTTTGCTTCTGGGGGCTGCACTGCAGATTGGTCCCTCACCCTCAGTCCATCCCTGTTGCAGGCATGCAACAGCCCAGGACACGACTGCCTGGACCTCAGCCCAGGACACGACTGCCTGGCTCAGCCTTGGACTAGCCTCATCAAGAGGGACTTTTGGTGCTGCTCTAAGTAATTTGATACTTTCCCCTAAAAATCCCTGGCAAGTCACATTTCCTCCTTTTTCTGATGGCGTTGATACAGCACAGCCTCTTGCAGGACAGTATAGGGGAGCTAGCTCTCGATCCTGGTCTTCCTTCTAAGGAAGAACAGTGAAAAACCTGATGTTGACAGATCTCTAACATCAGTAGGAAAACTCCTTGCCCAGTACCAAAGGAAAATGGGCATCTTCAGGTGCCACGTGCTGAAAGGTTTTGGCAAGTGGCTCTCGAGGACATCTTTGCTGTCACTTCAGATAGCTGAAATGAGATATTGTGTTTGTGTAACTTGTTATTCTTGTCTTTTACTGCTTTTTCACATATGTGGCAAAGTTCCAGTGATTCTCCATCATCCTCCATAGATCTGCTCCCGATTTACAGTATAACAGAATACTGTTTGGCCCATGCCTGCTCTAAGAATGTTTTAGTATCAATGAAATCTGAAGTAAAAGCTGAAATAATGAGTATAAACTGTGCTTGTTTTCATTTGTTTTCATTTTATCTGACAAGTCATAAATGTTCTATCTATTTCATCAAAAATAATAAGCTTACTTATTAAATATCTGAATTGAAATTCTGCTCTCAAGCATAGCAGGGCAAATGCAGGATTATTAGAAATACCTTCAATTTTTTATCCTCTGTGAATTAAGGTAATAATCAAAGTACTTCATATATGATGCCCCTGTAAAACTTAAAAATAATTATGCACAAACGGCTAATAAGTGTAATTGATTTAGGGATGCCTGCCCCTCTGAATGGACACAGAATTAGTGTTAATTCTACTGTTCTTTTAAAAGCTTCTCAAAGGAGAAATTTCATATTACTGAGCAATGTTTTTGGCTAGAAAACAAATTTGCATGAAAAAAGGGAGGTTTGTTTCTTAAGGGTTACTCTTAAGAAGAGTAAGCCCAAAGAAAGAGAAGGGTGATGGCACACACACACATGCTCCCGAGGTTTAGAAATCACAAGGTTCAGACCTGGAAGTGCCCTTGCAAGTGGTATTGTTTCCAGATTCTCCCTCTATAATAGGGTAAGACTTGTAAGTCTAAGGTTCATTGTTCATTGCTACATTTATATTTGTTCTTTTACATTTTTTCAGTCAGGTGTCCTGGAAAGTGATACCCACTACTGATTTCCATGCATTGCCATTACATATACTATTCCTTGTTCCTCCCATTCACAGAACTAAATTTTTTTCTATTTATCAAATCAAATTGAATAAGCTTTCAGTTACATTTAAATATTTAAATTTTCAAGAAAAGGATCACCATTGTCCTCATGGCTAGGCTGTTACAGCAAACACGATTAAAACGAGTGGCTATCATTCATCTCCTATAACAACATCGCTTTTATTAAGTGTTGGAGCTCTGTAAGGTTTTACCACCATTCACATGTAACTACATCAGTGTGTATAATAGATACAACCTGAAAGCCTTCATTTACTTTCCTTAAGTCACCACCCCTTCGAAATCCTGAGTGCGTAGTGTTAGCCTGTGTGTGTGTGTTCACAATTAAACATGAATATATATGCATAGTACAGAGAGAGAAAAAGAGGAAAAAAAAGCCAAAACCAAACAAAGTCAAATAGCTTTTAGGGAAAATCAGTAGCAATTTCAGAAACTCAAAGCCTTTGCAGAGTCACGTATTAGCAAATGAATGCAAACAGACAAATTCCTCACAAAGAGAAATTTTTTGGGTTTGCTCTTTTTTTTAAAGAAAACTTTTTCTGATGAGCAGAAGAGACAGTTTATAGCACTTACCAGACAAAGGGAAAGGTGTCTGAATTGAACATTTTAGATCATCAGGATCCCTAAATGGCTTATGGAGACTGATACCCTTTTATAGGGTTTCAATTAATTGGCCACAGAAAATCCTCCCACAATGGTATTAGATAGATACATTCTGGTGGTTTGGAAGCCTCTAAAAATAAACAGTTGTTATCTTTCCCTCCTCCCATTCTTTCCCTTCTCACTTCTTCACTTCCCACCCCTTTTTCTCTGGACCGAGCGCCTTGCTGACCTTCAGGGCTGAGCTGCTTCCGACACAAGGAGCAGCAGCTCTGGAATTCACATCTGGCTCCTCCATGACTTCTGGGATTTTGGCAGTGCAGTCAGCCATGGCATCCCTCAGCCCTGTACATCCATAGCAGCAAGGCAGTGGCCAGGAGCTCCTTCAGGTTGCTAGTGCTCTCTTCCCTAGTTGGGACTTACATCTTGACACTCGCAATGACCATTTTTCAAGTCTTGACCAAACTGGTTGGGGATGGGGCATTGGCAGTGTCATTGGAACACATCAGGGAAAACAAACGGGCTGGTACAGAGATTCACTGGCTCTGAAAGCCTCATTACCACCATGAAATTTCTGGCCTTGCTATCCTGCATTCTTGGACTGCACTTTCTTTGTTCTACTTCTCAAAATTCAATGCATCTGTAATATCAGACTGACTTCTTCGAATTTAAAAAACAGATGTGGTGTATAAATGATGAACAGTTAGCCAAAAGCTGCAGTTGCTCTGTGTCTATGTAACATACAGAAACCTGTTGATTTTAAGCCTAAAATTAGGTGCTATACAAAGAAAATCTATATAAAGCCTTATAAATCTATTAGGGCCTTTGTGGCTATCTGAAAATATTTGTAGAGTTGTAGAGTATTTGTAGGCAATTAGAATTTTTTTGTTAGTGCAATTGGTTGTTCTCACATTTATTTCCACTTCAGGTTGCTAGGGGATGAGATTGTAGGACACGGGAAATCTTTTTTAAGATAAACCCACAGAGTGATGGGCCTGACAGCACTACTTATTTATCTGCATTGATTTCAAAGGAAATGCCACCATTATTAGAATTTGATAGTAGATTAAAGCCTTGATTTATCAAAATCCTGAAATGCTTTCTGGATCCAGGGACAGCCAGGGTACAAGCAAACAAGCTGCATCATGTTCACTCACAGACCTCGCCTCACAAAGGAAAAAACATGGATATATTCTCCAATATATTTATGGAGGAGATGTATGTTATCCCATAGCTGTGTTTCACTTTCACTGGGGCTAATCCAGCTCCCTTCAAAATTACAGAAGCATTTTGGGCTTTTTTGGGGGGGGGCGGGGATGGGAGGGGATAAATATACCAACCTCAAGGTATCTCAAGTCTTAGTATGCAGTGGCTCAAGATACCGTGAAGTAAGTTTGCATCATTTTTTCCTAGTTTATCTATCCATCCTAATGCCTTAGAAAGCGACCACGCCAAATAGGGGGAATTTCTACAACTAATGATGTATTTGTATCTCTAAACTCTGGTAGAAACTGCTCAATGAAAATATTTGGTCTAGAGCAGGGCCAGGTCCTGCTTGGCCTTTTCCTCCATTCTCCTGTAAAACCAAAGAGAGTTTTGCAAGCGTACACAGCAGTGGAAGACAGTAATGCATGCATTGTTAAATCCCTGAAAGTCTTAACATCTGTAGAACTAGGGAAACTAAACTCAGTGTATGTTCCACCAGTGACTTTTGCTTTTATTTTTAAAACTCTTCAGATGCAAATTTTTTCAATTAAACTTTCTTTTTCTCTTTCTTTAGCTTGCTGGGATGGTGAGTACTGCTTACTCCTATGTCACTGTTACTAGAAAGGCAGAACGATGGCGTTCATTTGTCACACTGACCTAGCAGAGACCTCATAAGCTGTGAACTGCTTTGCCTTTGTAGAATTAGGCTCCACTCAACCAAACATACTGAGCTGTGTGTTCCCTTCACAGGGGCTAAATCCTATGTTGAGAGTCAGATGTTTACTGAAGTGGAGCTTTAGTCTGTTAATCCGGGTTTAGCATGGGATATATCCCCTTTTAACTTCGGTATCTAAAATGCAAGTGTTTAGCCACCAGATGCTTCCCCTGCAGTTTGTTTCTCTCCACTAATGACTCAGTGAGGCTACACACGTCAATGTTCATAGATGTGGTAGGTGTTCTTAATTAAAACCATCAGATAAGATTTGGCCATCACTGGCTCAGTTTCAAATACCACATCCCTGTGACTGGCTATACTGAGCCTAAGCAAACCAGGGCTTCATAGTTTCTATAGTCTCTACGGCATGCACACTGTAACACAGACATTTCTCCTACTACGCATACGTGCTCTTGCCACCCACACAAATTCTACTCCCATTCTGCAGGTGGAGCAGCATGGCATAGAAATGCTAAGCCTAGGAAGTCTGTGGAGAGCAGGGAGTGAAAGTCTCTCAGGTCCTAGAACAGATCTGCTGAGCCATCGAGCGCATCCGCTTCCTCCTCCTTCCTCCACAAAGAAATGCTTTCTACTTGTCTTACTTATTGACTTACCTGCTGGGTTTTGACATTTTCCCCTCACGCTGCTGTTCTGTAGAACTTCTCAAAAGCTCTGATGCCTTTCCTTGTGATAAATTTTCTCCTGGTTATGCTTGACTGCTTTGACTTTCAAAATCCAGGCATGCCCCTTTTTGTTTAACACCAATAGGGGTGATTATCTTAACCACTGCTGCACGTATGACCCTCA